AGATCTTTTATTAGTTGTAAAAGGGATGAACAAAAAATTAAATGAGCAAATATTAAGTTAAAATGTAATTAATAAAAATATATATATTACCAAAAAGTTTAGGGGACAGAATACATACAAGTCACCATTAGCTTAAGTGTTAGCATTTCTTTTTGCTGTTAAAATCAAAATAACAGTTTTAAGAATTAGGAATTAAGTACTGACAAGGAGCACTATGGTGATGTGAGTTTTCTGTGAATTGCCTTCTTTCTGATTCAGAGTAGCTTATGCCTCCCCCAGGAAAGCCAGCTTCTGGGCTTCTTAGTCCTAGGCTTCATTCCTAAGAGAATCAATCAGCACAAAACCAACAGCAGCTTCACGCTACGTATTTCTTTTAATTTCACATCCAGAAATTCTTGTGCTTTAGAAATCATTTTTAGCTTGCTGGTTTCTATGATAATTCTAAAAGTCCAGTAGGGAGTGTGATCACAGTGAACACAATTACATTCCATTATTTTATCTTTTCAAAATGTAAATCTTATCCAGGGCTGTATTCATTTCTAACTCAACAATAGGTTACTGAGTTGAAAGAGATGACTTGCAATTAATAACAGAATAACAACCTGGCAGAATTCTACCCACAAGAGGCATTTATTTAGCAGGTGTAAAGTTGAATATTCGACTAGAGCACGCAACCACTTCAAGTGATGATTGCTTGCCCTGACAAGCCATCTTTCACCTGTCACAGCCAGCAGCAGAGAAGTACTTCAGCCACATCATGAAAGAGACTAGCTGCAGTGACAAGTGATTGTATTCTAACAGTATCCCAGGTAACTTGCTCCTGACTCTCCCACGTAGCACATTAACACTAGCTTCCTCCAGAAGTCTATCTCTCAAAGCACGCTGGCAAATTGTTTATTACATCAGACAACTTCAACTAGTAAATGGGATCACAAAAAGAAAAGCAAGCTTGTGGTCTGAGACAGATGTCAGCAGTGTGTCCCTGCCTGCAGCGCTCATTCCTCAGTCTTCCACAGTGGAATGTGCTGATGGTACACGGAGCTACACAGCAATGGGGACCCTGGGGACTGGTACAGCTCACACAGCTGTCAAACTATTAGGCTTGGAAAGTAAGGAGCCCAGAATTTAGAAGAACATCAGTCAACAACAGCACTAACTACTTAGAGAAAATTAGACCCTGGGAAGAACAACATCTCTCATGAGTAAACAAGTAGGAGGGGAGAGTGGTTTCATTAGCCCCAGAGGTTTGGCCAAATATTGTACAGAGAAAACTGAAAAATTAAAAAACAATGGGTGATTTTAACTTCAAAAATTTCCCTCCTGGCCGGATTTGGAGCTCACTGTAACTGAAGCTTTTGTAATAAGCAAAGTCAGATGTTTCATAGCAAGTCTTTTGATAACACTTGATAGCATCTGCCCCATTGCCAGAGCCCTGTCTCCAGCTGTGGTTAATCACAAGTGCTAAAAATGGAGAAAACTGAAAAAAAAAAAAAAAAATCATGACATATATCTAACCAGAGGGGAGAAAAATACAACCAAGCAAACCAATACAGCAAAGCATTTTCTGGTTACCTTTTAAAGAGAACAAAGTTTTTTTCTCAGAGGTTGATGAAAGAAAAAAAAAAAAAAAAAGTAGCAGTCATAATGCTGGACAGTCAAATGCCAGAAAGACTACAATGACCATCTAAGCCCCACACACATCCCTTTCTCTCAAAAGGACACAAATCTTCCCTCAAAACACCATTAAATAATAACAATAAAAAAGAGCAAAAATCTTTATCTGAAACTCTGGAATATCCTCAACACATTTTAAGGCAAGCTAATTCAGAATTTAATTTGTTTCACTTGAACAAGCAGAAACTGGATATAGTAACGGTGTTGACAACCAGGCCTAAATATTGCCCACTATCACATAACTTTTCCATGTGTAAGTAGCTATTCAGAAGAAGCAAGTCTCCTCTCAGTATATTCTTCAGTGAAGAGCTAAACACACACGACTTAAACCTGTTATGAGCTTGTCTCTTCAAAACACGCATCATTTATATGGCTTGTTTGGAGCTGTCTAGTATTTCCTTATCTTCTGAAGTATGAAGAACAGAACTGGTACACAGTATCCTAAAGCCACATAGAAACAAGACTGTATCTCTGCAAATTCACTGATACTGTCCTTGTCACATAGTTAAAGATTAGTAGTGTTTGTTGGGTTTTTTCCCCCTATAGCACTGTGCTGGTAGCTTACATGGATTGCGAAGCATAATTTTCCTTTTTATTTTTTTAATATCTCCCATGTCTGTGTGCAATCCATACTTGCCCGTATTCAAACACAAAAAGATAATTCATATCAGTCTTACTAACCCTTCCTTTTCATTGCTCAATGCTTTTAATGCCCTAAATGATTACTTTTCATTAGCTCCAAGTCACATGAACAATTTTATCATCAACTACATAGTTGATAAAATTACAATGTTTGACCATAAACTGTCCTAAAATAGTTTTCTGCAAACCTTCCCCTTCATAGTGGGGCAGATCATCAACAAACGTTCAAGTCAACAAGCTAATTCTTATCATCTACTGCATGCGATATCGCTTCTCAAAATTGCACATCTCTCAAAAAAAAAAACAAACCAACCCACACAGTTTGAGAAAAGCTAATTCCCAAGAAATCATATCGACTGGCACTAATTACAGCTTTTATCATCTGAGGTAACAGAACAGTGAATTATTAACTCCATTCTTTCATCGGCATGACATTTTGGGTTGTGCCTTTTCTTTCACCAGCCCCCTCCCCCTTTTTTTCTTCCTCATTCGTAACCCTATTGGCAATTTCCCCATCATTTGCAACATCTTCCTCTTTCCAGGACAGATGATCAGTAAGTGATGGATTAGGGTGCTTTCTTTATCCAGCTTCTTTCATAAGTTTTAGATGTGAATTATCCAGGACTGCCATTTCATAAGAGAGTTATACAAAGCTTTGAAGAGAAGTGACATAAAATGAGTATTATATGTTAACATACACATTTTAGAGGGTGTAAGGGCAGATCTGTTGAGAGCTCATTTCCTTTCACTCGGTTACCAAGTAAAAATTAAAGGAAAAATAAAAATATAAGAAAGCTTTGTCAATTCTCCCAAGCACAGTTTTCTAACTTTTCCCAGAAAAGTTATCAAAAAACACTCATCTTAGAAATACCCTTCTTCAAACATTCACACATCATATCTAGTAATCATATTTTACAGGAAAATAAATTATCTGTCAAATTGTGAGTGAATAAATGTTTCTATATCTAACAAACAGGGGACAAAACCATCCTCTGTATTAAATCTTTTAAGCGCCACTAAGTTTGATGAGATGATGTTTTTCTGTTTACATCCTAAAATAACTTCCTGCAAAAGTGATCCATTTTCTGCTATTATACTTGCTGTTCAAGTCATGAATATACAGTAATGATGAAAAACCCAAATCCAGAACACTGAAGCACTGCTCACTAAATGAATTCTTTACTTTTTTGCCCTTACACATCCAGCCCAGCACAATTCTTCATTTCTTCACAATGAAAAAACTGATGACATCTACTCAGGAGATCACAAATTATTTCTACTAAGAACATTTGAAAATAACTGAATGGTCAGAGTATTCATGGTAAGAATAAAATAATCATATCTTAAAAAAATCACAACACAATTTAAAATACTTCCAGGGAAGCACAACAAATCAACAACTAAATATACTGAGCCCCTTGAATTCTATTTTATTAATCTTGCCTGAGGACAAAAGCTACAAATAAGTTTCTATTTTAAAAAGTGCACATGCTGCAACTTTATTTATGGCTTATGGCTTCAGACATCAAAATAAAACATCCAAACACTTTTCTGCTTATGTATGTTTACAAGTGTACGCAGTCAGAGCAGAAAGCCAGCTTTGATCTAATTCTCACCTTACTCAGATCTGTATTTAGAAGTGCAGAATGATGTGAAGGCAAAGAGATGAGAGCACTGCCACCTTGTGCCAGCCAAACCAAAGCTCAAGCCTAACAAACAAGACTACAAACTAAAACTAATCCCAGAACATGTTCTGCCTTTGAAGTCTGGCAGTCACTTGAAATCAGATGCTTGATATTGAATTATGAATGGGTGCAGTGATATCAAGCTTTAGGAACACCTTCAACCAATTCTTTAAATAAAATCAGCATGTCTGGCAGCAATTACTCTTATTAGACTTGCCGTTACAAACATCCCAAGTTTAGTAACTCATACCTCAAATTTCAATCTCTAAGGATGAAAGCTTTGAAAATAGGCTTTGAAAATCTTCTTCTGACCTTCTGGTTTCATTTTATTATGGGCCAGGTCATTTTTTTTGTTGTTGTTGTTTTTTTTTCCTTTCTTTTAAAGTTACACCAGGCTACACAACTAAAATACTCAGAAGACATATGTAGCAGAAATGCTAAGCCACGGCCTGAAATGGTGATTGAGTACCTGGTGGGAAGACAGGTCCAACTCAGGGGAGCTCAGGTGTAAGCAATGCACCTAAGTAACCAGAAGGGGTGAAGCCAGGATCAGCTCCTTCCCAGACCTCATTTAAGGGTTGGCAGTGGAGGTGAGGGCTCTCTTGTAGGAGATCGCCGCTATTATCACTGTACTTCTCATTCTATTATAGCATTACAACATATGAATCTTCTGTTTGAAATGCTCTCATACAATTATGCTGCGAGAAGAGGGATGTATATTTTTACTACATAAGTTTTTAAATACCTGAGTCAAGATAAACTTTAGAGAGTTGAGAAGAATTCTGAGAATACTTGCATATACTTACAATTTATGAGTGGGAAAAATCCTCTCAGCAGTTCATTCTTATTTAAAATACAAATACTGCTTTAAGCTTTAAATAATGATGTGAAAGATCTGGAATTTATTCTGTTTATTAGCTCTACTCAGTGGATATTTCCATGAGTTCCCTTCACAAGAGGCATTAATACAAGCAATAAAAACAAAACAGTAGTACTCACCAATATCATTAGTCAGAGAAGCAGGATCAGAGGTCCCAAGGGTGGCCTCAAACTCCTCCTGGAGACGATAAGCTCTTTGAAGCAGGGATTCAAGCTTATGGATGAATTCAGCACTAATAATATCCTGCAAGAAGACATTAGATTTTCCATTTATTTACAGTCTATATTCTTGGATTTAATTTAAGAAATCTTTCTCAGTCTTTAAAGAGCTCACTGTGCCACACTAGTTTCCTATGAGCAGCACAAGGACTCTGTCAGATGAACACTTCAATATCCAGAATACACACACATTTCTAAAGATACACATACTTGATTCAGTATAACAAAAATAAAATCTAAATCTTTAAATTTTTTTATGCTTACTGCAGCAGAGTGAAAGCTGTACGGGTGTATGTTTATTTAAAATATTTAATCATTTAGTTCACGAGAACAAAGATGCAGATAAAGTTCAAACATACTATTTGTTAACATTCACAAATCATCTTTTCCAAGACTAGTATTTTTGCTAAGCAGATTTTCTCTCACAGCTGTACAAGAAAGATGATCCAAGAGAGAGAACTAGTTAAAGAAATGCTTGGTAACTTGATAACAGTATTACTGTCCAGAAGTAAACATTGATGCAGCAGCAAATGACAAGAAATACATAAAGCTACTTTTTTTTCCCCAACACTAATAAAAGAAAGGGGAGAAAAAAAGTTAGATATCCTTCAAATGAATGTTCTTTGAAATTGCTCTTAATTTTGGCGAATGCATTAGAAGTTTATAAGATCCAGGTAGCAAAAGGCAATGAATTGTTTGGACAGCAGAAGTAGATTAAATATACTCACTTCTACACTTTCTTCTGCAATTGCATCTCCTGCTCCCAGCTTGATGGAACTACAGCTTGCTTCATCTTCCACTTGCCTGTTACGGAACGTTAATGCCTGCTCCCATCGACGCAGTGCTTCTTCAAAGAGCTCCATACCTATAGGAACATCAGGAATGCCTCCATTCCATCAGGCACACAGCTCTGGTATGTATTCATACTTTAGAGTCATAGGAAACTATATAGATAACATGCACGATCACAGCAGAAATGCAAGCTTTTAAAACAGCCATCTGATTTTTTAATATGAAGAAACTCACAATATGGTTAAATCAATGAGGGCTGTAGTATTTTTTCCTATTTACATTTAAGAACAAACCTATAGCTTACTACTGCAAATATACGTTTTGAAAATACAGAATTTTGATTTTCCCAACACTAGATTAAGTAGGTTTTCATTAATTTAGGGAAATGCTCTTAGGTGCCCACAGGACACTGAAAAAAAAAAAAATACAGTAATATTATGCAGGTGCCATTTTGTCATGAAAACAATTATTTACTTTCATTACTGGTAGATGCCGAATATTCTGATGATAACCTACCCATCAAATATAAGTTTTCAGGTGTAGTCACTGGAATATTAACAAGCTTAATATCCTCTTCATCTGCTTTATCCCAGGAGTTAGAATTGGCACAAGCACAGCTGTGACAAGAGGTGGCACTCTGAACCTGAAAATAAATACATTTTAAAAACACCAAGATTTAGAAGCATTTATAACAACTCTGTTGTTATACAGAGTATCCTTAAGATTACGTTCCTACTAGAGTACATTATAGTCCAAGTCTTATCTACAGATTACCTTTTAAAAGATTTTAGGAAAGCACAGTTATTATCAGGCCACGTATAACTGTTTCTTTGGAAAAACACACCCTAGAATTAACAGCAATGTTCTGGAAGTCTGCACTGCTCTTCTTCTAAAATATGAAAGTAATCATTGATTTACAATATTGTCCAAGTAAATCTGACTATAGATTATCAAAAAATCAGAAAATGTCTCAAAAATAACTGTCTAGAGTGTTGTAAACCCACTTCCCAGTGCAACATTAAAGAAACTACGCTGTATTAAGCTTCTTGCTCTGTAAAAAGTTTCTAATTAGAGATGCTGATCACTGAAACAAAGATCATCTGCACCATGTAGAACACACACCATAGCATCTACAATGCAGCAGAGGCACACAAGGAACATTCATTTATTTCAGTATTCTGACTAGGGGTTCAGTGGTTCTCACCTCTGTTCTTCTTTCTATCACCTTTGAACTGCACTAAGCTCTCCTTCCTATGGCATTTGTGCTAGTGAGTTATATAACTCTAGAAGTTTTTGAGCATTTTCAGGACCTGTTGTTCCAGACTGCAAGTTTAGGAAGAGCTGATGTGGTTGAGAAGGTCTATCTCTCTACATTCAGGCTTTTCTGGTACTCTTGTGTAAATTCTAATGTTTGGAGATTCAGTCCAACTCACTAATCTAACAAGAAAGCATTCAATCTTGATTTATTACAAGTGATTTTACTGCCAAGTCAGTAAACTCACTTCACTCACTAAAAGGTCTAAAATGCATCAAAGCTGTGTGTGTATATTTACATTACATACATATACATATACCCAGGAATGTATAACTGAGTGCAAGATACAAGGGGAATCCTGCTTTCAGCTGCACTGAATAGCATAGTTTTGGCTCATTCCATCTCATGAACTGGATTCTTACGAAGTTGTTAGACACAAGACAGGAAAGGTCAGAGGGACAGAATGAATGGGCTGTCCCATTTACTTTACAGTTGCATAAAATCTCTGACAAAAACTATTTTCACAATGTATAAAGTACAGCAGCTTCTTCCACAAAGAGGTGATCTGCTCAGTCAGCCCCTCTATCCTTCAGAGGCAGCATATACAGCTTACTCAGAAAAGTTGTTTCAGCTCAGGGAAACCACTAGGTGTGACCCCAATACACAGTGACACTGAAATGCCGTAAAACATTTCTACTTACTGAGACCAGACTCTGAACTGAACCAGAGTATTTACTGAAAAGCCCTCCATTTGCATAGATACATGACTGTGATCCTTTTTCCTTGGCAGAGCTCAGAGAAAGAGTCAAGTTTTGTCGGCTACTGGAACAACTTGAACCTGTTAGATACAACATTTTCAGTTTGAAGAAGGTTTAAAACTAGCAGATCTTATGTTAGCAAGAACTAGCAAGAACTGTTTCCAGTAATTTCAATAAAATCCAGTTCAGAAGCAAACAGTTATTCTTTCACTTACATTTCTATGTTAGAAGTTACAAATTAGAATAGTCCATGTCCCTGACAATAAGCATAGCTTTTCCCATTCCATAAAGTTTAGATTTGCTTCTGTTAATTTTGATGTACATCCCCAAGAACTGCAAATCCAACTGTTAGTATATTACTGATGAAATATACTTTGTTTCAAATTTAAAGTTAAAACATTAACATCAAGAAGATGACTAGTTAACTTATAAAACATAACTCTGTTTTTAACAATTTCTACTTCAACAGTTCAAATCTCCTCAACATTAAAGGAAAATGGCTTCATATACTGTTACATACACTGACCCCTCCACATCCCTTTCCTCCCCCCGAGACAAACAAAGACTTTGGGGTTCCTTCGTGTACCTTTTTCTGATGCAGCTGCTTTGGTACATTCTAATAGTAGATGACCTGGCTCCCATTGGGACACTTGCTTGTTTTTCCTTCCACGTTTTCTTTTGAAATGATGGGCCAGAAAAATGACAGATATTGCACTCACTGCTGTGACTGTGAACAGCTTCTTTAAACCAGGTGAAAGATTTATCTGAAAATTAAAGAATGTGACTTCATTGGAAATCCATGCTTCTTCACTCTGGACTCCTTTTGGTGTGTTCAACCTGGGCATCTAAGGAACTAAGAGATTCTGTTCTCACCCTGAGAAATAATAATTATTATTGACAAATTACTTCTTAAATTTTGTGATGGCCAGGTGAGAGCCAAAGGGATTTGTGGGACATCTACAGCTGCACTGAGAGCCACACTGCAAGGTATATTACAAATTCTTTTCAGTGATTTGTCACATGAATAATAGAAAAAAATCATTTCTGAGCCATATTTTGCAAAGCCAAATAGAAGCCTTCTTTACTCCATTTCTGTGTATTACAGCAAGAGAACATGGCTCACTCTTCAATGTACCTATTCTCTGAGGGACATAACTGCAGTGTTTTCAAGTAATTCTGATGTTTTTCACTCTATCACTTATCAAACATGCTTACAGGCAACTAGCATCTCTTTTCTCTGGATCTCTACAATGTAATGACAGCAACTCCCCCCTGCATTTGTCCTGAGGTAGCTCTAGGGACACATCTTATATTCCCTGCATACAAGCAGTATCAGCTTCACAACACTCTCAGCCTACTAACCTGAAAATAAAGGTCAGAATGAACATACTTTTACCCAAATGTGAGGGACTGTTAACCATGTTGCTATTTTTACAGCACTACGTCAATGAAAGAAATCACACAAGGTCCATTTATGAAAGAAAATTCTGCAATTAATAGAGCCTTAAATGTTATATTGGACAATCTTTCCATGCATAAAACAAACACAAACAAGCAAAAAAAATAACAAAAAAATAATCTGGTTCTATTCTTTATAAGATTCACCGCCTCATTTTAGTAATTTGTCACTTATTTAATCAAGCAGAAGTGACTCAGGAGCGAGAAGTACACTTTTTGATTTCTGATTAAGAGTAATCATTTTGATTAACTTAGAGAGTGGTACTGCCAGTCTTTGAGACTGCACTCCATACTGTTTCCCAAAATTTTACCAACTGCTACATTTAGTTTTTAACCACCTAGAAATTCTACAGAAAGGATAGTTCAGGTATTTTGATTATACAAAATGAAGACACACAAACATTGCAGAAAAAGCTGTCTGCTTAGTCTGATATATGATGATACACCATCAGCAGGAAAAGATAAAAGAAAGTTATTCTAGATACTAAGGCCAAGACACTCCTCACAAATTTAGCTCATATTAAGATCAGAAGAAAGAGTATAATATTACAATTAAACTTTAAAAATGTATTACAAACTATAATACTCAGATAACGTGTGCATTACCTGTGTGAGAGAGTGATACCAAGACACGGGAAGGTGAAATGCCCGTAGAGCCACTGTCTTCAGAGAAAAGCGTGCCTCGGTAACAGCCTCCTCTGACATGGCTCCTTCTCTCCCATAACCTCATTAAGTGGAATTACGTCAAAAACATCAGTCACAGATGTCCTCTGAATGGTGTCAAACAAACGATGAAGAATTATGCAACGTAAGCCCAGGACAACTTTCTTCTACAGGCCCGCTGCCCTCAGATAACAGGTACCCGACTCATCTGAGCGATGCTCGAGCAGAGGGATTTGTGCTTAATGAAAAAGCAGTGCGTTGCTGGCCTGGCTCCAGCCCATTGTAACTGTCCTCTGCAAAGGGCTGTGTGTCTAAGGAAGGACCTACAGAAAGCCGTCTGCTTTATTACCCGAAAGCTCACTGCCTATATACTCCAAAATGTACACAAGACAGCTATACGATGGCTACTATCAGCAGAACATACGCACCAGCTCAAAGAGTCCAGGGGCAGACAGGAAGATTCTCACTGAGAGATTCAGCGTATCTACAGACACGCGATAAGGAATAAATACCACAGCCTGACGTAACCTCACTATGAGATGAACACCACCCTCTCCCGACGCTGAACACAGCGCAAACCTCCAACCGCACCTCGGCGCACGGTGACATCCCCACAGGGCAGCTCTCTGCCCGGACAGACACCCCGGGAGCTCCGGGCGGGGACGCCGAGCCTCGCGGCGCTCCGCCGGCCCGAGCGGGTTGCGGGTGGCATCCGGCTCCCGCTCTCCTCGGCACCCACCCAAATCCCAGGTACCAGCAGAGTCCCGCTGTGCGGCGGCGCTGCGGGTGCCGCTCTCGGTTACCTGTAGCACAGCCACAAGCCGCCCCGGGCGGTTCCCTCCCCGCTCCCGCCGCTGCTAGGAGACGGAGCGGATCCGCTTCCGGGCCGGCGCGGAAGCGGCCGAGGTCGTTAGGGAGGTGGCTTCTACCGCGTGAGGACGACCCGCGGCGGCCATCTTTCCGCAGGGCAGCCTTCCCCTGCAAGCGGCCGGGCAGGGCGGGGCCAGAGCCTGCGGCCGCCATCTTTGTGCGGGGCGCGCCCGGAGCGGCCGCATCCGGTGTGTGCCCGTCCGCTTGCGGGAGGGGGCGCTGTGCCCGCGGCCCGGCTGCCGTTGCGGTCACCTCTTCGCCGCGGCCCGCGGGGTGGCGGAGCGCCGCGTCCCCGGGGCCCGAGGCACGTCCTCAGCAGGGGCGGGGTGGCCGCGGTCCCGCTCGGCCGTAGGCTCGGTGCGCTCTCACGGTAAGAGAAGGAAGGGGATGGTTTCGGCGCCCTGAGGGGATAGGAGGCGGGCGGGCGGTGGCTACGTCCGGACTCAGAGTGCGAGGCGGCCCGGCTCCAGCCATCGCTGTGCCCGGCAGGCCGGGCCGGGCCTTCCTGGCGGGCTCGGTGCTCTGAGTGCCGGCTGGTGTGGGATAGAAGGGAATGGGCACCTGAGGGCTTTAGAAGGCAGCGTAACGTAAGTATTGTGTAACCTCACAAGCGGGTCAGCTCTCGGTTCGAGCTTTTTTTTAATGTCCTTTCGGCGATTTAGCACTCAGTATTCAGACTTATCATTTTCAATGTAACCCTTGCACTCTGTCATTTGTCTTCCTGCTTTCAAGCTTAAATCTAAAATACGCTTCCCAAAGAAAAACTGACTTTTTTAACTGTCATAGGTGGAATTGTAAAATCATGTTAATCAGAGTTCTAAGAACCATGTTAAAAAGGAGAACGATGTTTATCTATCTATATATTCAGGTCCTTGGTTAAATTGTAGGCCATAACCATGTGTGAGATAGCGCAGGTGTGTGAGTGTAAGCACACCTTTTTCTTTCTTACATTTCAGATGTAGTATTGGTTGTGCATTACAAGAAATTTCTTCTCCGTAAAAGCAGAGATGCACTGGCACCGCTGCCCAGGGAGGTGGTGGAGTCACCAAACCTGGAGGTGTTCCAGATCGGTGGGGATGTGGCCCTGAGGGCCACAGTTTAATGGGCAGTATTGGTGGTAGATTACAGCCTGACGTAATGATCTTAGAGGTCTTTTCCAACCTTAATGATTTTATGAAACAATACAAGGGAAAACATCTAATGAAAGTGACTCAGTAACGTTGTGTCTTGCTCGGTGGGTAGTTCTTGTTGCTTAGATCCAGGCACCAGGTATCAAAAATATGGACTGGATAACAGAGTAGAAAGGAATAGGATGTGAAACTAAGGAGTGGTCTTCCTTTGGTCCTTTTGATTACATTTGTTTTATTACCAAACTTTTTCAAGTTTAATAAAAAATGAGATTTTTTTTTTGTTGTTTTGCATACATTGTTGTTGTGGAGTCGTAGGCTGTCACTGAGTTCTTTAGAATGTTGATTAAAAATGTATGTCTTAAACATCTGAATATGCACATCTGAGGCATAGGGCATGTGCAGTTTGCAGTGAATGCTGGTGTTGTGTTTTTTTTTCTGAGCGTGAAGAATATTTGTGCAGTAATTAATTACTGAAAGCTACAGAGCTCTTTATTATTTAAGTACTTAAACACCCAGATACAGAATCACATCCCTATGCCACTCTATCTTGGTTATTGATATTTGAAAGAGAAAATAAACACGACTGTTCCAGTGTGTCAGTAGTGAAATAACCTCAAGTGTAAATCGAGAACCCTGAGCTTAGTGCTAACTGGCTAAATACACTGTTATTCAGAGCTGTATGGTCAAAGTAATTAAAGCCTGTAATGAAGATACAGTTACTGCTTGAAGCAGCTGTTGTCTTCGGAATAATCCTTTTGTTGTTAGCCTTCCGCCAGCATTCCACAATTGAGTTCTGTTTTTGTTTTGTGTATTTGACTGGGATTTATGTAAGATTAGCTTTTTATAATTCTCTTTCAATTTGTCAAATTACTTCATTTAGACGTGTTCATAGGGCAAGTATTCAGGTGTGTGGGAGCAGTCCTGTGAAACGATCTGATTAAAGGGCTCTGGGGACATCAGCTGAATGAAAATATTTGTGTATTTCAATATCTGTTGAAATGTTAACTACCACGATTAGATGAATGGAAACGTGGATTTTTAGCTTTAATTAAAAAATTAAAAACAAACAGAAACAACTATTTAAAATCTACTGTGTTTTTTAAGAAAGGCTTTGGTAAGTTTTCAAGGTTACCTGAACTCTTAGTGTTTATTGTTTTTTCTATGTGTATATACAGGCCATCTCTGGTAGGCACCACAAAAGTCTTATAATGCCATGGAATTCTGCTGAATAATTAATGGCTTGTTGGTAATCATGCTTTAAAATATTGTTCATGCTTTTGTGATGGCTTACATGAGTTAGTTGTTTTGTTTGTTTGTTTCTTAGTGTTGGTTTTGCAGTTCCAATGGTGAGCAATAGCTATTAAATAGATATCTGGCAGAATGAGTTGAAGTTCATCCTTCATTCATTGCTTTTTATTGCTTGGAATATTTCATTCAGAAATGCAGTTTTGTAAAGTAATTAAGCCTAAGGTTTTAGTAAGCCATTATACCAAGCCTTAAATCGGCTTTAATTCACTGTGACAACTTTTAAGATAAGGTTTTATTTGAAACTCACTCATCCGTTTTTAACATTTGTGTAGACATTGCAAACTGTGCAAGACATAACATGCATAAATCCTTCTGTTTCCTTTCTGGAAAGGAAGTTTAATATATTCAAACCAGAATTTCCAGTATGACAAAATTGATGAGTTTTTGCCTGAAAAACTGTTGTTTTTGTATTTGAAGTCTTTCAGCAATACTGCAAATAGACACAAGCTGAGAAAATATTTTTTCCCTCTGAAACTTATATTCAAGAGTAATGCTCTGCAAAGGTTCTTTCATTGATCAGGGAAGAGAATTTAGACATAATGTTGTCAAAAATCCCTTATTATTTACTCTTGTGTTTCTAGCCTTGTAGTCTTAGGTCTTTATCTTAAAGCTGTTGACATGCACAAAGATTGAAAGATACACATGCACGCTTCAATATGTGTGTACATGTCATATATATGATTATATGTATAATTAATGTAATAAACATGTCATATATATGTATTTCTATTAAAATATTTTATACATTCATATGTAGATGTGTATACATATATATATGGATGAAACAAATCTTCATATGCCTTACGTTATTTTTATAGGTATAATATACAATTGCAATATATAAAGCATTTATATAGTATGGTAAGAACACATTAAAAAAATGTGTTCAGTAATTGGAGAAAACTGAAATGAAAAATGTCTTATTACAGGACGGTAGAAATGAACACCAAATCAAAGATTAAAAAGCTGGAAGTTTACTAGGAAGTGTGTCTGAGATACTTACCAAAGTTTTGTTCCCAATCTCCACTGCCAGAGCTTTGGATTACCTAGTACTGAAAGCAGTCATGCAGGTGAAGAAACAGGTCTAGAGCTGCCAAAGCGAACAGGAGAAGTGGAAAGACACTGCCAGAGGTTGCAGACAGTTAGAAGAAAGTGCACTGCTGAATTAGGTTGGAAGTTTGCTTGCCTGCCTTGGTAAAGGAAAGTGAGATTGGATGGATAATAGGGCAATGAACATTTAAGGCTTCTTGGGCTTCAGAGATCAGGGTATCAATAGCAATTGTTTAAGAGGCAAAACTGGAGTGAAAGTCAGGTGAGTACTTATGTGAACATAATGTAGCCAAGTTCAGGTTTTTAAAATTGAAATAATGATACAAAAGTGGATGTATTTAGCATTTCTTATTTCTGATGTTTCTGTGTCTGCATCAGGGTTGTTGGAAGAACTCAAGCAAGAGAGGTTTGCTGGGCATTCAGTACTGCACATGAGTTACGAGTTTCAGCTTGCTTTTGATATATCATGTGCCTGCTATCTAGTATGTTTCTTTGTAAATAAATAAAAGCAAGATAAAGTTTCGTTCTGCCTTGAAAAGCAGGTCATGTGGCTTTAGCACACTTCAGCAGTATTGTTTAATAACACTTTGCAGAACATACAGTCCTGAGTAGGCTTGAAAGCTGTCACTTTTTTTTTTTTTTGCCTTTTGAGTGCCATGATAGAAGCCAGGAAGATGAGTAGTTCAGTCACGTGGCTTTGCTCCACTCATTTAGGTTTATGCCCTAAAACTCAGAAAAATAGAGGATTGCAATTTTTTTTAGAACTCAGCTGTATTTAATTTGGACTGTTGGTTCCCTTACTTTTAATAAGTTATTTATTTTAACATTTTAAAAAGGCACATTCTTGTAAAGATTGTATATTAGATTTCTACTATTGCTGTATACTGTAAGGAATTGAGTTTTAATCCTCACTCCTGTTGAAATGTGTCTTCTTGGTCTTGGGAATCCCAGCTTCTGGATCTAGGAAAATAAAGCGTCTGAAGATGGCATCACTCAGCAGCAATTGCCCACACCTGGAATCAGTTGGCGAGATAACAAAAGAGGAATTGATACAGAAGTCTCATGTGAGTTGTAGCACATTCCTTCCTTCCTATCTCAGTTAAATGTCCTCATGAATTTAGTTGTACAGCTCAGCATGTATTGCTGGGCATAAAGTGCAAAAAAAAAAAAAAAAAAGGTGCTAAATATGGAGTCAAATCTTTTTGTGCTGCTGTAATAAAGTTTAAACTAAATATGGGACAAATAATGGACTTTAAAGGTGAAAGTCTTTTTTTTCCATACCTAATGTTTAAGAGTGTATTTCCCATCAGTGTTTTTGAAAGCAAGTGGTGTTTTAATGGAAATATCACTTAAAAGAGATAAGCAGAACTTCTTCAGATGCTGCTGTTGTGGCAACTAGTTACATAGAATGTAGAAGTGTAACTATAGAATAGGTAGCATAACTGATGTTTCGAGTGGAAACTGTAATGGAGAAATGATTTTTGTTGGATCACAGTTTATTTCCTGATAGAGGAGCCACAGGTTGA